TTCCCCCGATGCACCGGCTTGATCACCCGAAGCAAGATCTTCTAGATCCTCCGCAACTTGCGGATGGCCTTGTTCCTTGTAGTACTCATTCAATTTTGCAACCATCGCAGGGGCCATTGGCAGCTTCAGGTGTTTCCTCCAAACGAAAGCAAGAATCTCCCCTGTGGTACGCGGACATCGGCAGTGGCCGACAGTTTGGTATGGTGGTTTACCACTTTGCTAAGTGTGTCGGTGAACTTCTTGTTGCACACCCTGCAGCGCAACCTCCACGAGTCGTGTGACGTGTTGCTCGTCACCCTCTGCCCTTGATCCGCCCATCTCCAAAGCTCCGGCTGGCTATGCATCCTTTCTCTCCACGATTCGTGCGGACATCGGGCAGCAACCGACGGTTGGGTATGGTGGTTTACCACTTTCCCAAGTGTGTCGATGAACACTTTGTTGCACACCCTGCAACGCAACCTCCACGAGTCGTGCGACATGCTGATCGTCACCCTCTGCCCTCGATCCGCCTATGAAAAACCAATTAAAAGGTAACCTACATGGCCAATAGAACTATAAGCTACAAAGCTCCAACTGGGTGAGCGTCCTTTCTCTCTCTTCACTAGTCTCAGGCTCAAATGGTCCTCGATTCCTCGCGGTGGTCGTCACAGTGGAGGTAGCTGGTTGGTAGGAAGAAGAATAAGAAGAAGAAGAAGAAGAAGAACAAGAAGAACAAGAAGAACAAGAAGAACAAGAACAAGAAGAACAAGAAGACCAACAAGAATAAGAAGAAGAACAAGACGAACAAGAAAAAGAAGGGGTGGGAGGTGTGTGCCCACTGGCCGACGATTCTCCGAATATTTAAAAAAGTGGAGGTGGATGATGGTAGGAGGAGGAAGAAGAAGAAGAGGAATAAGAAGTGGAAGATGGTGAAGAAGAAGACGGAGAGAAGATTGAGAAGAAGAAGAAGAAGACAATGCTCCATGTCTCCCTGCTCCAACACACCTACCGGCACTCTTCTCACCTCCCCAGGCAACGCGGCTGCCCACACCCACCCTGCCCATGTCTCCCTGCTCCAACATACCTGCCGACACTCTTCTCACCTCCCCAGGCAACGCGGTTGCCCACACTCACGGCTGCCTACAATGCCACCGCAGGAGAATGAGAAGAGTGGGCAACCACACTCTTTTGAGTGCCACCGACCTAGGAAAACAAAGTGTCAACAGTCGGCGGCCTCCCACGCCCTGCCCAATCGGTTGATCACCCCGGTACCAGCCCGAAACCCCAAAACTGGGCCTACGGGGCGCGGGGGGCCGCCGTGCAAAAATGCAGCAGGCCGACCCCCACCGATCGGTCGCGCCGACCGCCGAAACGGTCCGCAGGTCGGCATCCGACCGACCGAGGCCCACCGACCATCGGCGGGTCCAACTCTACTGACCGAGGCCCACCGACCATCGGTGGGTCGTAACGCTAGCCCTATTTGGATATGAACATAAAGGAGTGGTGCATTGTTGTTGTCATACCACTGCCTGGGAAACTCGTGTACGCCCTTCAAGTAATCACAAAGATCGCCCACCACGAACTCGCCATCCGTCGACGCAATTGGTTGTGCATAGAAGGATAAGTACTCCTGTAGATTAGCACTAAGTGTTGCTCAATGCAGTCCCTTTTTGCACAACGAGTCCCTTGCAGTCAAAGACGTCAAAGCCAAACTGCTAACGTACGGAAAGGATACCCGCACAAACGACGGATAATTGTCCTTGAACAAGAGAACCCAATGGTGGAGCGAGTCTGGCAGCATACTCCTCAAAAGAGAAGAGGACTTACAACTTTCGCATGTGCCCCGGAACTAAGGGAGGTTGCTCGAGAAGAAGCCGGCTCCAGCAGCGTCGTGAGTGTCGTCCCACTCCCGGCAGCACTCAGTTTTCCGAACGGGATTTCCCCTTGGTCTCCTTCACCTTCTTGCTGGTTCAAGCGGTGGTCTCATGGGCATCGTTAATGCCCCACAAGCAAATACGAGTACGTCCTCCGCATTCGGTATACGGCCTCAGAAATGTAGCGAAGCCAAGGTTTTGAGCGGGCTGTCCGGTCCCGAAAGATGATGAGGTGGACGTCTTCTCGTTGCCTTTGCCCTTTGCTTTGGGCGGCAGACCACCTCCCCAGGTTGCTGCTACCATGTCTCCCTCGTCCAAGGTAGCAACCCGTTCCTCATGAATGATGAGGAATCAGTCACCAGAAAATATCGTTGTCATTGCTATCCTTTGTTAGGGCCCACAAATGCAGCTTGACGGCCGCTGCGAGCCGCTGTGTTGGCCAAAATGATCTGCGAGTTAAACAATCGTTGAGAAGTGGTGTGCCTCTCCAAGACTTGCATGAGCGTGTGCGGGAGCACTGGGCACCACCTCTTCATAAAGTTATACTTCACGCCTCTGAACATCACGGAGAAGCTCGGTGTGGACGCCAATCACTGATACTCGGAGATCCAATCCGCGCTTGTCATGGATGAGGTTCATTAACTTCTCCATGGCCTTGAGGTGTAGCGGTTCCACTGGGAACCGTTTGTGCCATGCTTCAGCAAGCTCATCTCAGCTCATTTTGGTGTGGAGGTCAATGATCTTCACACCATGAGTGGCAATAATGTTGAAACGCCAAGCTTGACACACGCCTCCGACTGGTGGTAAGGGCAACCATGTCGTTGGTGCGGCTGCACCTTGTGCATTTCCAAACGAAGCGTGAACTACAACCACCGTTGTATCGGGTCCGTCTTCGAAGAGTCCACGAAGACCGGTCGTCCAACTTGGGAGGGTGTGGTGTATGTCCAGCAGCAGGGCCATGCATTGGAACAATAGTAATCCGCTGCTCACATCCAGTGTCAGCAGCCTGCAAAGCGCCCACCTAAATCTCCAGGTCGTGGACACGGTCCGAAACATTAGAGGGATGTGTTCCATTGGCCACCAAACACTGCTCCAAGCCCAATATATGTGTGTCCAGCATGGCGATGTGGTCAACTTGCTGTGCATTGAGCTGCTGCAAGTTCAGAATTTCGGCGTGCTGCACCTCACACATGACGATAAGCTGGCCATGGCAATTGCTGGTCCGCCGTGGTGGCGTCATGGCTATCTCCACCCAGTCATCGGCCATCGACCGCGTGGTGTCCTCATTGAGGAGCAAGGTGTCCCGGTACACCTCTCCCTTCTCATCTGCAGCCTTCTGTGCTGCTACTTCGGCTGCTTTCTACTGTTCTTCTGTCTTGAGACGAGCATCCTCTCCCTCCACCCTCTTTCAAGCTAACCGCTACAGCCTCCTCCATCCTCTGCTGAGTCTCCGCCAATAAGGCCTTCATGTGGGCTGCGTGGTCCTTGCCAGACTCACCAGCACTCCATAGCTGCAGTCTGTGAATGCACGACCACAGGCATGAAGTTCAGATGCAGGGGGCTGACATGGTGCCGAAGAACTGCGCTGCTGACATGGCCTGCTTACGTCGCTCGGGGTTGCTAACATGGCACGCCTGACATTTTGCTGCTGACATCGCCAGCCAACGTGTCCTGCTGACGTGCCAATGCTGACCTGACCTGCTCACGTGGCCTGTTAATGTGTCACTGCTGACGTAGCCTGCTGACATGTCACCGAGCTGACGTAGCAACTTACCAATTGCCCGCCACGAAGAGATGGAAAAAGACGATGAAGATAAGAAGAATGAAGAATAAGAAAAGCAGCATGCACAATGGGGAGGGGTGGGAGGGAGGAAGAAAGGTCTGAACTCAAATTGACATCATTTCCCCACCCCCCATGTGGTCAGAACGATCACCGACATACGAAGCAGCTAGGGGGACTTTAATCAAAAAATAAAATTCAAAATTTGCCAAAAAAATTAAAAGAAAAAAATTCAAGAAGAAGAACAAAATTCCCGCTGCAACAGCCAGGTCGCTTTTTTTTCCTTCTTTTTCCTTTTTTTTTGGAACACATTCATTACATATTAAAGGAGAAGTTCCAATTCTAACGAAGTCCATTTGATAAAGTATCGAACTCCCCGAGGATATCACCTTCCAGAATGGAAACACAAACAAAACCAAAACACATCGCACTCTCTCCACTCTCACCTCCCCCACAGACCCACACTTCTCAGCCAGACACCACCATGCCATGATTACCATTCGCAAGAGATTCAGGAGAGGGCCAGGAGCACACTGCCCTTTACAACCGTGCTCCAACCTATGTCTTTGAGCACATCCTGACCTATGGCACTACCGTGTCTTTCTTCTTCTTCTTCTTCTCCTCATTCTGATCTCTGTCTCATACTCCACTCTCATATCTACCAACGGCCCACATTTCCCAGGAAGACACCGGGAAACTACAATTACCATTGGCAAGAGATTCAGAAGAGGCTCAGGAGCTCACTGGCCTTCATGTCTACTGTGCAACAGCTCACATCTTTTCGCACATCCTGACCTGTTGCACTACATTGCTGTCACCTTTTTGTGAGGGAACCCAACACGATCACTTCCCTGGATGTCTCTTACCACAGCTACAACTTGAATCAGTTTGAGTTGGCCCTAACAAGCCAAGCCCAATGAACTACTAGGAGGGTCATCTACCATTAGAGGACTTCTTTGGCCACAGGGACTTCACCTAGCAAGCATCGGGAGCAGGGACTGGTTCGCTTTCACCAAGAGGGGAAACAGTTTCTACAACTGCAGCTCTCACAGATGCCCATTTCAGCCGTACACACAGCCACTGCACCTTGCAAGTAAAGTATTGGCCATCACAGTAATGTTTGGGGGTTCGCATTTCAGGGGCTATGGTCCATTCCATCCCATCCAGTTTTTTTTTCTGACTGCTGATCTCTCCTTCCTTTTGTCCTTGGATAACAAAACTTGCACCACAGATGGAGAAATTGGGTTGCATGGTGGGGGGTTTGGGGAAGGGGGGGAAGCACAAGACAGGGAATGCAAGGCACACATTCAAAAAGGGAGAAGAGGATGGCCGGTGACAGCTGAGAGGCAAACAGACTGGATCCATACCATTCTCTGTGCAATCTGCTCCACCCGCTTGTCTTTTACGCAGCGATTGCCCACTCGCTCATAACCAACCTCGCACATCAGTATGCCACCCTTGCACCATCCATGAGAAGGGCAAGGAATGCAGTTATCTGCTCACAGGAAGGATCACAGTTGATTTGCACCATAGGGAGTGGGATGTAACCAACATTAGAAAACATAATCTGCACAATACAGAACCCGGGATGGCTTGGAAGCCGGTGAGATAGTATATACCGAGGGAAGTCCTATGCTGATTGCTGAAAAGAAGTTAGCAAGAAGATCCCTCAGAAATCATGTATGAGAAGGGGATGACCATCAGGCAACATGAAGTTGAGTAGGTATCCAGACTCTATTGGCTAAAGCCAGTACAATCAGTTCCGCTGCAACAAGCCCGCAATTCTTACAGTATCTCACACCGAGCAGATCTCACACTTCACATACACACCAGTTCACACAAGAGGAGGAGCTCAACACGAGATGTGAGAAATCCAAAAATTGCTTGGAAATATAAGTCATATGAAGTCTGGTAGCTATGGCCGCAGTGCATGACAACAGTCAGGTATGGACTCTCTCCCATGCTGTACTCACAGGCCGCTCGCTCTCAATAAACGTCTTGCTCTCTCACTCTCTCCACTAAGCTATGACTCTCTAGCCTCACTCACGGCTTGGTCGCATAAGACCACACTCCACGACAAGCTTGAATGGAACTTGTGTCGATCCTTTACTGCCTGCTGGCTTTTGTAATTGATGCTGCAGTTCTCAATCTTGGACTTCTCCGGAACATTGCCCTGACTTGCCTTCCACGGTCAGCCTTCGACGCACCTGGAAGTTTCACCGACTTTCTTGGGAGGAGGGCAGATGGAGGTGTGATGTGGCGTGCTCAGACACCCACATGGGCCCTTGAGGCCGAGCCCTGTGGCCACATGACGGATATTTTTGCGCAGTCTCAGGGCCATCGGCATGATTTGGGCCTTGGTTTATGCTCGACAGGTATTAGGTAGTCCATTGTCTGCTTGTGGAGGTCTGAGTGGAGTGCATTGTCTGCTTGTGGAGATCGGACTCCATCTAAGTGCATTCATTTTATTCTTCTGAAGATTTTTATTATCTTCAGCGTATTTTTGTCTGTTCCAGTTTTATGCAGTCCGGAATGCTTGGTTTGAACTTTTTGGTTGTGAGAACAGGCACTTGTGCCTGTTAAGACCAGCAGTGGTACTTGCAGGCCGTTTTGAGAGGCAGTGGCCGTTTTTCAGGCATTGCAGACTCTCATCTACATCTGGGCTGGACCAGATCTCGTATCTAGTGCAGCCCATGTGCACTTCTAGGACATTGCTGCTGCAACAGCAGGGAGGCGTGGACACCCAGGGATCTGGGCAGGTCGTTTCTGCTCCAGCACAATGGACCAGGCTTTTGTTGTGCATCCTAGGCCGCCGATCAGAGACTGGGTTGAACAGCCTGGGACACAGGCCAAGATATACTTGGCCAGTCCAGCAGTATATATCCACGCCCAGGGACTCAGTCTACACGAAGTATTGTAGACACTCTGGCAATATCATGCTGGAGTACAGCGCTGTAGAGGCGCTGGGGCAGTTCACATTAATCAGCGATAGGAGGTAGGCTGGAGAGAGGGAGAGATTCTTCAGCAGCAGTGCGGCATTGGAGTACTCACCTGGGCGCCATAGCTTGAATCTGCATACAGGTCTAGGGTCGGCCATCACCTGACGCAAGAATCAGCTCAAGACATCATCTTTAACTGGTCAGTATCTGGGGACTTCAAAGAGCGAGACAGAGCAAGAGAGGACAGAAATCCTTCTTCTTCTTCTCCTCCTCTAGCCAACCTCCATATCCACCACCTCTCATCCTACTTCTACTATTTTGGGGAAAACTTTGGCCCTAGGTTCGGACTTCTGACTGGTGACGACTGTGGGATTCGCACAGAAGCTTATATTCTTCGACTGGTACATTGAACAACTTCTTCTTCTTCTTCTTCTTCTTCTTCTTCTTCTTCTTCTTCTTCTCCTTTTTTTCTTTTTCTCCTTCTACTTCTTTGTCGCCTTCTTCCTTCTCCGTCAACCTCTTCGTCGCCTTCTTCCTTCTCCTCCTTCCTCTTTCTCCTCCTCCTCCTCCTCCTCCTCAATCCTCCTCCTATTTTCTTCTTCTCCTCCTTTTTCTTTTTCTCCTTCTAGTTTGTATCCTTCTTCCTTCTCCTTCTCCTCCGATTGCTGTCTTTCAGTCTTGTGCTGCTTTACATTGTCGTTTGTCCTCACTTTCGTGATCACCCGGTGCTCATGCCTACATATCCATACGAATGTGACATTGTGACTGTTTGGTATCGGAAGACCAGAAGGGGATTCCAAATGATCAGCTCATCTAAAACAGCGAATTGACTAAGTAGTTTACTAGTTTGTTACGATCCTGGTTATCTTGAAGTGCAGTAACACAAAGAAAGACAATGGCGTTCAATTGCAACCGAAATGAAAAAAACTAGGAAAGATAAATAGACAAAGAACTAGATAACCCGTTGCAGCTTCACCCACAAAAACAGAAAACTAAAAAGCACAAAAGAAAGAAAAAGCATAAGGAACTGCCCTATCATATGCCGCTTCTTTCACAAAAACAAAAAGAAGAGCCTGAGAGCATACAGAAATCCGCATGCAAGAAATAGGAGGGAATACCACCGAACTTTTTTTGTTTCTTTATCCGCAAGTGTTTTGTTTGGGAAGCCGCTGCCTTTGCAGCACCATTTTGCTTTGGTGCTGTGCAAGAACTGTGAACTTTTATGAGAAAATCCTGCCCATAGTCCCGTTGACGTTTTTGCTAAAGATTCCGATTCAGACTTTTGTTTGCTATGTTCTCTGAATATGTTTGTGATAAAGCGATCTTGCATGTATGCCTCGTGCTTACTTGCCGAGTCTTGACTCTATGTGCGCAAGTGCATGCGTGTGTGGGTGAGTTCTCTCAGGTTTGCGATCAATCAATCTTGCATGTATCCCTCTTCCCCGGGCCAATCATCAATGACATGCACTTGTTGTCGAGTTGGTGGGGTCGGATGATGTCATTGATGATTGGCCCGGGGAAGTTATTGGAAGGCGCCCCCAACAACAATAGGAGTGCCACTGATGTTAAGAAGCAGCGGTTTTGCATTGTATGAATGATGAAACAATCAGCAGCACTCAATCTGCTTGGCAGTTGCTCTTCATGTGGGGGACTTCTCGGGAGTAGCGTTGACATG